AAATGCATACCTTACGAGGGAATTCTTTAGTTATTGTAATATTATTATGATAGAATAAGAAATAACGTTCAATATCAAACGATGTTAGCCTCTATTCAAATTAAAATAAAGGTTATTTTCGACTAAGTACGTATGCCTGGAACTTGTCCCTGTATCCTGAAAGTCCTGAAACCTCAAATTACCGTAACACCCCGTAAACAATCGAGTGTCGATGGCAAGTTATGAAAACAGACTCGACGATAATTACTTAAGCGTAACCCTACAATGTTTGCACGGGGCCTCGAAGACCCAGCGATTAATAAATTTCACTCTGTTTGACTTGTACTGGGTCAACGGATTATGTTTGTGGATTATGGTCTGTGAGCGGTAATTAAACGGTTTCAGTGTGTTGGGGTACAATGTACCCGGAGGTGAGCGGCAGTCGAAAGGAAATCTATTTCAGATTTTCCAAAGTTGGTCTTGGATTCCAATATTTTATTAGAACCGGGCCCTTTTCTATTTTGGTTTTCGATCTGAATATAAGGATATTGTAGTTATTTCCTAGTCCGGTATTTTTATATCTGTTTTCCTAATAATTGTACATTTTAATGATACATTTAAATGTTGAAAAGAAAGTTCACGAGTGAGTCCAAATTTAAGCACTTAATTAAGTTTAGTCTAAAACCTTTACACGCACCAGGTGAAAACAAAATTACCCTAACTCAACACGAAAATACAATCAAAAACCAGTAAGTAAGAACAATATAAAAAATAACATGTTCACTTTACATTTTGGTCCTATAACAACATTAGCATTTCAATTCCGAGTCATCTCTACCCCTGTGTTATTACAAGAGAGAGATTCGACCACCACATCAGCGCTAGGGTTGAACACCTGGCGTGCTATTGTTCGGTAACGAGTATCAAGTTACACGGCGATATGATGCGATCGATATCAACCCTGGCGGACACATTAATATGTTATTACGCCTTTGTGAGAGTAAATTGAACGCACGAGTGTTTGTAGTACATTGTACACTACCTAGGCGGGTAGATTGTAATGCAGAGCTTTTGTTACTACGAGGTGAACAATTTTAACGGTAATTTACGTTCATTTGTATCAGAAATAAATAACGATCTTTTTCGTACCTACATACACTATGAAGACGGAGAACGTGACGGCGAAGCGTAGGCATTCCTCCCGCTAGGTGGACCGAAGACAGCACCAAAGTCGCGGGGAGCCAGTGGATGCAGGTGGCGAATTGTCGTTCGACTTAGGGGTCTAAGGAGGAGGCCTTTGTCCAGCAGTGGACGTCTTTCAGCTGTTGATGATGATGATAATACACTATGAAAGTCATTCAAATAGTAAATCTTGTAACCTTATCAAATCAGTTTTTAGATTGAAGATCTGATTTAAATCATGTTGTACGATTTCATAGTAAGAGTAGATAGTACCTACGTATGCTACGCCATCAAAGACCAACTGCTTTGTATTTACTTTCCACTAATTTGGCAGAACATTATTGCACCAAAATATAAATTGGTACTTGTAATGAGTCAACACTTTAATCGGGATAAATGCAACATTAGTAATTGTGGTAACATTAAGTGGTTACCGTCTGGTCCCTCATACCAATTGGTCGGTCTGTCGGTCTGTCCGTCTGTTGGCCAGGACGATGCGGGCCGAGATCTGGCGATAAGGTGCTGATGAGAGCTTTTAATTGCTTTGCAAATTATTGTTTTACTGTTTTATATTGGTCGGGTCCTTTATACGTTTAACCGCGGAGGTACGGGCGTTTTAATTGTGGGGTCACTTACAAATTTATGTTTCCCAATTTACGCAGGTTTATTTATTGCCTTAAAAGACTTTGATAATAATGGTTTTTTTTTTAAGGGGGGAATCCACCCCGTTCCTTCTCCTGCACGTCGAGCCGGAGCCCCGGTTACCCGTTAGGTTCTCCGCTGGTATATGTCTTCATCGAGTACATAATAATATGTGGCATATCTGTCTCTCATAAATTCTTAGCACTCCTCTGGTGTTGCGGGTGTCCATGGGCGGCGCTGATCGCTTACCATCAGGTGATTCGTCTGCTCGTTTGCCTCCTATTCCATAAAAAATAACCTTTTTAATTTTAAATTTACATAGACACTCACTTATTCATCTATACATCTTGTAGGCAGTAACGGAAAATAATACTAAGTATAATAGATTTAGACCACTCAGAAGACAGTCACAAATGGTACATAAATCACCAGTAAGTGCCACAGGTGTGTCACAGTACATGCTACAATTGGTGTAGTCATACAAACGGTATCTGTTACATTAGGTGCGTGGTGAGCTGGGGCCAGGCAATTGGGCGGCATTTAAGGTGATCGCCCGCCAGGTGGCCGCTGACTCAAACTACAATTTAGTTAATAGGATCCACGTGAGCACTAGCAAATGTATGGAGACGACTTGATTCTCAGTTAGATAAGTTAAAAAATTTGTTTTGTTTTGTAGCTTTTGTGAATTTCTGTTTGCTGTTGTTTATATCAGGGTTTCACTTAATGTAACAGTCTGTCAAACCGCACATATTATTTAAATATGTATTGTGGCGTACTTTCCTTCCGTCATATTATGAATTTATCGTAACTGAATGTTAGCGCATTGCCATTTAATATGCACAAATACAGACTACGTGAGAGGTTAATTCAAGCCTTCACATTTTTACCCGATCCGGGAATTAAGCCCGACATCCATTGCTCAGCAAGCACACTATCAGCTCCCTTGAGGCTGATCCTATACAAAGTTGTAGTTATGATATTTTAAATTAAAGTTATATAACATTGTCGTTGACTCCACTGTGCCCTGTGCGTGTGACCCACATGTGGACCAATTGAGTCAGTTTAGGTGCTGTCAGGTACGGGCGCGCGTAGGGTGCCGTCAGCCATCAGCCACTGAACACGGGTATACTTAGCTAGGAGCTAGTTAAAGGTTATTGTCTCAACTGACTTGTGCCTTGAACCACTGCATTGGTAGCGTTGCGTTTAGTGTTGTATGCGACTGACTTTATGTTATTGTTGTTGCTTTAACTTCATAGCTGATTTGTATAGATGTATGTACAAATGGGTGACGTAGAATGTTCACTATGGTGCTGTCTCATGTAATAAGGTACATTAGAAAACATAAATAAGGACTTAGGTACCTATGTTCTAAAATTTAGAACAAAAAACTTGTTCAACACAATGTTCTTAGAATTAGAAAATATTTTTAAACGTTTCGTACCAATGTAGTCTCAATCAGATTTTAATTAGAAATACATTCCCATTTACTGAGTCAGACTGGGACAGTCCCAAGCTCCTTGTTCTAAGAATGGTCTGCCTACATGACCTGAATCCAGTACAATTGGTTAAGGTGCTTCAGGTGTAGGTGCCACAAGTACTTGCAGTGAATCAATCAAACGACTAGATTGCAGCTGACGGGACGCGGCCTCTCCAATTGTTGAACTATTATAGTTACTCTTAGAACATTGACCAATTGTTTCTATGACTACTGCTGAGTGACTGACTGGTTAAAGTATTCTTATTGGCAGAACAAGTCTGAGGTTTTGAGTTTGATATTCAGAACGAAATTCTCAATTACACTTTCAGCTAAGTGTATATTCATAAATTGATGACAATGCGGTGCTGTAAACCTGCCGCTATTCACGAAACACTTAAAACAATTACGTCATCTACCTTTTACATTAGCAGCAATTAAAGCAACTTTAAAATCCATTCCTCCGCGTGTTTAACATACGAGGAGCAACCCTAACTAAACTAGTTATCCCTTAAAATCCCTTTGTGGCATAAAATGTAGTGAGAAATTAAATAAGGAGGCGTTTTGTAAAGGTGTCGCCCGCACGGCCGCGCGCCGCACTACCGCACCGCGCGTCTGAGTCCGGCTAATAGAGCGCCCGCATACAGAACCCTTGGAGATAGTTTTACTTTATACGTTTTTAGTACACATCAAAAGGTAACAATTGAACCCTTATCGCGCGAGTTCGAGGTGTTTTATTTTGTGTGGTAGAGTTGAGGTGTCGGGTTCCAGAGGGAACATTTACTCAACCAGACTGTGGGGTATTGTTTGCAGAGAATGGAAAGTGCTGCGCGAACTATTCTGTTGGTACTGTGACTAGCGTATATCTCACACACAAACTAGGTATTCTTATATTCTAAACTGGTTTCGTGACCAATCGGTACAAAAAACATCGGATTTAAGAGAATAAGCATGTTTAATGTAGAATTGTGAAGATTCTAAGAGGTCCTGTCGTCGTAACTGTAAAGAGGAGGGAACTAGTCAGTTACTGTTACAAAACAGATTTTCACGATCGCTCTAACTATCGTAACTTATAAACATCGAGCAATACTGAACCCTCTCAGGTCCTCGCCACTCACAACCTCTAACCTCCCGAAACTCATCATTCATTGTCAAAGACATAACAGCTTACCATATCCCTTTATTAAAAAGGTATTCAAAGGTACGAGGGGACCTTTTTGTCCTCAATTGGTGTAGGTAACGTTAATAGCTCCAAATTAATAATTTCCTTGCCCGCATGCTCCGATGCCGGCCACGATAGCCACCCTTAGCCCTTTTGTTTTCTAATTGAATGTTATTTCTTTCCTCTGCCGGAATTTTTGATATTTTGTGCGCGACTGCGAAGTACATTTTGATGTTTTGTGGGAATTCAAGAAAAGCTTTGTGTTATTAATTGTGTGAATCTAATTGATTTTTCTTTGTAGTTGTAGACAGTCAATCTGACTAGTGTGAAATTGTAGGTATATGAAGAGTTTAGTTCTACATAAATGTGGTGGTGGCCCGTCTTTCAAGGGGGTAGGCAGAGACCATTTAACGCCAATTACGATTCTTGCATACCGCTTTCGCGTACAGTATATTTACCATTATAAGACATTTCAGTGCTATTCGAAGTCCATAAATGCCTACTGCTGAGCTAAGCCTCTTCTCTAGCGAAGAACGTTTGAGCATTAATCACCATGCTTGCTTAATGCGGGTTGGTGATTTCAAACTTATAATTAGAAATTATAAGCTTAAATTTCCTCATTATGATTTCCTTGACAGTTTGTCAGTGGTGTCCAAATAATGGTAGAAAAAACTCATTACCTATAACAAAATAAGTTGACAGAAGAGACGTGTAATGTTTGATGTCTCTCATAGATATCGTGAAGCAAGTTCACAGATGAGTAGAATCAATCACGCTGTCACACAGCGCCCCTCCGGCTTCAGGCAACAGATGGCAGTTTCTTACGACTTACGAGCAATACAACGCCAACTGGACAAGTCAGGTTGCGGTCCATGGAATAATTTCTATCATTTGTATATTCGTAAGTAACCGACATGAACGAATTAATACTAAAAATTTAAACAAGACGTAAACATTATCTAATCTATGAAAAATTAAATGAGACTCCGTCAAAAAATAAACACAACAAAAATTAACGAAAAAAAATCAGTGCCACTTACGATGCAATTTCCGTGGGATTAGCGAGTAGGGTGTCCAGCCCGCGAGCGTCGCTGGGGACTAAACAATGGACTCTCACGACACACGGCGCGTGGCACGCGGCGCGCGGGGCGCAGGGGCTCGCGGGCAGGGGCAATGCAATATTTGTTCGGTGACACACGGGTGACACGCGCAAGACCTATTGTGCACCTATAGCCAGAGGTAAGGCACTGCTGTTCAGTTTTTACAACCCTCTTACTCGTAATGGGGAGTTTATCGTGAATAGTTTGTTTAAAATTCAAAAGCTTTTTGTATTAGCAGAAATAAATGATGAATTGCGGATACTTATAGAAAGTTAGCTACTTTCATCTTTCGTAAAATTTATTTAAATACAACATTTACTTCAGACATTCAATACCTATGTTGTTCAAAAACAAAATGGAATTATACCGATAAAGACAAAAATACCTATTAGGCTACAATCTTGCTATCGAATAATATTGATTTATCAAATTTACGATTACTGACTTTCACAACAGTTTCGAACCTCTGTGTCCCACACACTAATCCGTGCACATGGGGTGCAACGATAAAAAGATAATGCGGGTCGTAGTCGCGTGCGCATCAAAAAACTGGCTTTAATGACGCACCTATACAGGCGGGCTTATCGCGCCTGCGCGCCACAGCGTCCGCTGAATAGAGCAAAAATAACAAATGAGCTTAATTATAATACCTTGGCAAGGGGTGCACGTCTGCAGGGCAGGGAGCGGTGTGACAAAATAAACATGCTGGCAGGAGGTCCCGACGTGTTTTTATTGGCGATGCGTGCTGAGCAGTCAATGTCGCGAGAGTAATGATGAGAATGGATTTCGGAATCCCCTGCCATTTGACGGTAATGATGATTTCTTATCTGTTGAGGAAAAAATGTTCTTGTTTTCAATCGTACCGTGCTTGTTTTTATACCGTTCGAATAACGGTGACGTAAATTATCAATGTTTCTGTTTTCGAAGATATGCTAAAGACTCGTATATCAGAATGTTTATGATTGAGAAAACGTAAATTACCATTCCCTGAGATTTATTTGTGTACATGATATTATGATATTTTATCGAGCACTGACTCGAGATGGAAGTTTTTGAGTTAATGTACTTGTTAGTTGTAGTTAAGACGTACACAACTACACACCCACGACCTTCCTATTTAGACGGAGTTATTGAAAAAGCTGGCTGATAATTAAACCAAACCAACATTCGTAACATCTACCTACTTAGTTTACACGTGCAATAGTATTGTGATTCCTTTTGTCTATAAGCTTTTTTCTTTTACCAGATGTTTGTAACACCTAAATACAATGGTGTCTTTTTAAATGTTATTTGAAACGTTGTCATTATGTACACACAGACTCGTGACAATAAGTTGAACAGTAACACTGGCCATATGTTGAACAATAATTACAATTCGTACATTGGAAACAACAAGCTTTTCAGTAACACCCCCAATGCTCACGGATTTATACCGTAACCGGTTAGCATTGTTCGCACGCGTTATAAATCATGCGAATGTGTCGCACGGACTAAAAATCATTGGGAGAGTAATTTATTGTAGGTGCGGGATGCGGGGGGTGCAAGGTGAGGGCGACTTTTTGTGAACTATTGTATGACGGTTGGATTCCGGTTAAAATCAGTGGCTTTGTCACCCTACAGCGCGCGGTGCGGCGTGCAGACGTCATCGCGCGTCACTCAATTGTTTCATCTGCGTGTGACGCGCGGGTGACGCCGCGCTCGCATTAGATACCAAAATGTCATTTGTTATTGATGCCGATATCTGGGACATGTTTTGATTTGTTGTGCAATTTACTGTTAGAATTATGTCATATTCAGTAGTATTTTGTGTGCCCAATGGTAACATCAATTATTTTCGTAAGGTATAGAAGGTACAGAACAAAAATTGTTGAATGTTATGCAAAAGAGTTTCCCACAAAATTTGAAAGAGAAACAGGCGTGTTTCTACGTTTATATTTTAATATTTTTCATTTAAAAAATACGTATGGCTTCGTCCACACCTTACAACATTTGGCAACGGACTCATACGCGGATTTTGTTTTCCCATCGTCCGTTTCTTCTCGTTCGCTGGCAGGTTGGGGCGACAATCTAATAAAGTGTCCCGCGCCCCGCTGAGACCGTCCGATTACGTGCTCCAAATCTTGTTACCCTACTCTGATTAATATTATGGCCGTACTCATGACACTTGACGCCCAGTTCTATAAAATTGAAAATGTAATCGAATTACTTGCTTATATTTTATGTACTTGTATGTATGTGGTAACAGTGCACATTTATTATTGAATCGGTACATTTATACTTACCCACAAAGAATCTGTCTACTTGACAAGACTCTATTTTAGATAAAATTAAATTGAATAGACAAGGTTTAACACACCTCCATAATATTTTATCATAGTCATCAGTAATGAAGTACAACCTGATAATGAGAATAAGTAATATAATAATATTGAAAGTTATGACGTGATGAGATTCACAATAATAATGATATCTACCTCTGTCTATTCTCAAACCAATGCATGATAGCGTTTAAATTATATCGTTATTAAATTTTCGATTAGGTTATTATGAAATAATTTGCTTGATCTCAAAGGGTTGGCAGGAATCCAATAACATTCAAATAGAGCCTGTCTCATAGAAGTTAGATAAGAATTCATGGCAACTGCGGCAGACTATCGATAAAGCTCAATTGGCAACGGTTACGAGGTGTAAAAGGCGCGCGACGACAGCGCCACCTACAGTCCGTACTGACACATCTGTGTGCTTGTTTTAATATTGCTCATACGCTCGTTTTATGGGGTTCCTATTGTGTATTATTATTTATTGAGGTATTTACGCGTATAAACGATTTTTGAACGACTTTCATGCACGCGCGTATTCTTCTACTTTTTTGACTAACAGATTTTAGTTTTTAGGGTTTTAACGAATGTTGTGTTGTCAATTTTAAAAGTAATTTTTATGCAATGCAATTTTAACATCAATATACTATTTATTAAAGAAATTACATGCTCCTACAATGACAATAAATTAAGAGCAAAAATGAAAAAGGGTTAAGTTAAGTTTCTATAAAAGTTGTAAGAGTATCTACCTACTCCATGTGACGAACATTTTTGGGAAGTATGGTACCATTTCATGCTCTGTGGTTGAACGAATTATACGCAATGCTATTTACCTACTGCGCCTAAACTACTCATTTGAATATTCAGAGTGATGTGAATTCGTCATAATTTATCGATACCACTCTGAGAGAGAACTGCTCAATCTAAGGACATCGAGCTGTACAATTATTATTATAACATTTTATTTTCACAAAATACCATATTAATAAAAAAAAGTTTAGTATTACATGACTGAAAATCCATTTGCACTTTATTTAAAAAGGATACATGAATGACAATTTCTATCTTCATCATATTTTATCGAACAAGTTGCATTGACTGGTTTCTTCAACCGCCGACACAATATGTTCGTAATCAAAGATTTCCATTAGTTTACCCATTAGTGTGCGTCGACTCGGAACATAGTTAACATTTTATTGCCGGCACTAGAGCCGATACTTTGATTAACGAACGAACAATGCTATAACAGAGACATGATCACTGTTTTATATTTACTCTTCATACAATTTGTCTGCTGGTATCCCGTTCATGCGGTAAGAATTACTAAAAAAATTCTAAATTCTCTGAAACATATTAATAAGGCAAATTTTAGCTTTAACTCAAATATTGTAATACACTTGAACTTTACCTGCCTTTTTGCCTGAACTGTTTATGGGCGGCGTTGATTGCTTTCCATCAGGGGATGTTTTTGGTTGTTTGTTCTTCTATTTTATGAACTGCGCTGGATACATTATATTATAAGTAACGTGCCTACTATACGCGAGTACGGACAAGTGCACCATCCACTCCCCCATTCTGATAATCTGATGGAACGACAATCCAACACGACCAAGGCCAGGTGCAGGGTCCACGTGCTTTCTCTATGCGAGGGTTAAATATTGTACTATAGAGTTACTAGACACTCATATTTTGATCATTCTGATGTAAAAAACTGACTAAATTAATTTCAAGATATTTGTGCTATATCAATTAATTAATAATAATTTTCTTTCAGGTTTACAACAAGGATGTCACTTGTATTATAGATCAGGTGAGCGCCATTATGAGGAACGAGGTAAATAAGATTTAGACTATCAATAACTAAAAAAAAAATATTATTTATATTTTTAGGGCCTAGACCCGGTTTGTAAAGTATCAGAGAGGGTCCGCCGCAGAAGCAATCTAGAGACAGTGCCATCACACGACCCGTACATCCCCAGGAACGCCTCCATACTGTACAACTGCACCACAGAATGTACGCTAATGAAGCCCACCTCCATGATAGACATCATCTCACCGAAACTCTTCCTCAAGTCTTGCTTCTTAGAGTTTACTAAGAACGATGACTACAACTGTGACCATATCAGATACCATCACTTTAAGAACGCCGATAAACTTTCATTCTTAACTAAAGTTTTACCCAATAAAACCCACTATTTGGTCGACTGCTTAGTGTACGCGGACGGTGGTAGAGTGTGCCACAAGAATGATGGTTCCAATGCTTCGTACACCGGCCTGGTGGACACTGGGACTATAGTGAGACCGAACTCGACTAACGTCCTGTCACAGGACGAGTTTATTTGTGAGGAAGACCAGGATAGGCAGATATACTGTGATCTAAATAAATACGTCCCATTCGATGACGGCCTGAAAGAGAAAGAGAAGGTAAAAATTGATGATAGCGTACTCTTAAAGACAAGTTCTTGGGTCGTCACACTCAAACGAACTTGCGTCAACTCGTGGTGCGGCTACAGCGGGAAGATAGCATCTACCAGAAGATATTCCTACAGTCCTCCAGGTGGTAAAGTGTTCCGATGTTTCTACGCTAAAGGACAACAGGTTTGCAAAGAAATCGGCAGTCCCGGTAGGTTAGTGTATAACAAACGTGGTTGGCTTGATGGGAGAAGCTGAAAAAACATGATGTAATTTTATGATAGTAAACTATTTGTATGACAATTGAAGAAGTGTTTTTCTTTAAAGTTGAGTTTTCTATTGATGGTAAATACGTTGTAAAAGTAATAGATTATTTACATGAAGTATCGACACGAGTCCCGCCCTCACCGGTAAAGGAGTGTGTCGGCGGCAGCGCGGAGTTTGCATAAAATCCTCGTTTGTCACGGAGCTAATGCGCCGCGTCCGAGGCAGGCCTGCTGTCCCCGGCCCGTGTTGTGACGAGCTGTGTGCTGGTAATGATGCCACTCCGAGACGTACGACCTCTCTACAATATTTGTCTTTGACGTCATCTATTTCTTTTGCCACCACAAAAAATATTAAATATTTAAAATACCTTTTATTTAATATTCGATATTTCTTTTAGGAATAAGCAAGTAAATTAACTTGCACTTTTTTGGTAGTCCAAAGCTTGACAGTTATGAAATTCAAATGCCTGTTGATAATACTCTGTAAAACACATTCTATGACAAAGCATTAACTTGGTATAGCTAGATACTAAATCGACATGTTTTTGCTTTATCTTTGATATTCAAAACTCAAATATTAGTTTTATAATATCCCAGTCATTAACAGAACAAAAGTGCTCTAACTAAAACTAAGTCAATTAATACAAATGCCAAAGTTAGTTCAAAGAGCTCTCGGAGTAACTCCATCCACCTCGTCATCAAACAATTAACAAATATTAACAATTTAACACATAATCGTATTAGAAAGTGTAAACTCTCATAGTTATCGAGTTTCGTTACGACGTGAGACGCAAATTCATCTCGCTGTACATTAACTAGACGAGGCGCGACTTTGAAGACCTCCACATAAACACTTCAATAAACGCACATTAAAAGATATGTCTCCAATTTAACTTGAATTTATGGTCACCGTAACTCCTTTACTATGTGTTGGTACAACCCTATTTCGATAAAACCTCATACAAAACGATACATTGCTGCTTATGTTTTTAATTTTTTGTTGTAAGTTTGAGAATAGTGGTAATGGATATAAAACGCATCAATATTTTCGTATAAATAAAGATGCGTCCCATTGTGCGTCGACTTAGGTTTAGGTACTTAGTCCCCCACGAGTGTTCGGCCCATAAACTTTTAGAAATGTCCCGTTTATACTTCATAAAATTTATATGCACTTTTATTCCATCAATAAAGATCGATTTGACTATTTTGTTTGTTGCAGCGCCGTTAAGAGGTTACCGAGGTAACTACAGTGTGAGAGGTGGGAGGGAATCTATGAGTCATTTAGGAGACGATTTATTTAATTTAATTTTATATCATAGTTGATCATATTAAAATTAATCGCGAAAGTAACAGCAGATGATCTGACTGAACATAAATAAAAAAATGGTAATTAAAAAATAAACATTATTACGAGATATGCTCTAACTCTTTTCCGGCTACAGCTGTAGGTTTAAGAGGCAGGTCTTCAAGCACTAAATAGCTTTGAACATAAACAATTGGTTAGCAATCAAAACACAGGTCGGTGAACACGGAAGTGTGAACTACGATTGATTACACTACCAACACATTACCGGAGGTCAGGTAACCGACCACTCAAGGTAATCAAATGGCTCTTTATCAAAAAGACCCTGACGGCCTAAACGTTAAGTATCAGTTACATTATAATAGACCAATCAAAGGTTATGGTCGTGGGTCCCATAAACCACCTTGAGGTCGTTACCTCGTGTATAAAATGGCAATATTCATCACACTGTTATGTAGTCTACAACCATCAGGAACATTTATGGGTGTTTACGTTTCAGACATTCATATTATATTTGATGGTCATATGATTTTTTTATTAATGATAAAATGGGAGAATTAATTTTTGGTTCATGTTTATGGGGAATGAAAATTGGTGGGGAATAAACTGCAACAATATCTTAGATTTTGCGGGAATGACAAAAAGGGTTTATTTAATAAGTCTATCTAAATGCAATTTGTTTTTTGAGCAACGCTGACTTGGATTCAGCCCCAAATTGCGCTTGTCATACAATTATTTTATACAGTTACGTTACAAAAGAAGACATATTTTATTGAAGATTCGACCTTGTTACAAGATTCTGTATTAATAAGAGCAGTGAAATCAAATTAAAGACAAACACAAGGTGTCCAATCCAAGGCAGTAGATCTTAAGACCTGCACAAAAGGCAGCTAACACACTTACGGCATTGATGTACTAACATCGTTACCTTCGGCTCGGCTTGAAAGGGCTGCCAGAAGCAAATTAACGATATCCGTGATGTTCCCGTTTTGATTCGCTGTCGTGCTCACGGCTTTATGTTAATTTAATATTATATTTGGAAGGGTGGTCTCAATGGGGTGAACATGTTAGTAATGGCGGATTTTATTTAAAGTGAAAACGACTTCACGTGCTGTTTGCTTGATCTCTCTGAATGTTCTTCTTATAATTTAATCATTGTGTTACTTTGTATTTGTTATGAGATTTAATGGGTAGGTACAAAATGGATTAATATAACGAGACGTCGATGCCGCATGACAAAGTCCATAAATTGAAATTGTATTGTTTATTTAAATTTATTACAAATGTGTGTAACTTAGATTGACCTATCTCTGAAAATTATAGAGAAACTTAATATTAAATTAAATCTTTATAGGACACAAAACAAAAGGTATAAATCGAATATGCTATTAGCAAATATGCATTTTGCAAGGGTCTCTTTACCTCGCAATGCACAACAAGTAAGTAAGTACCTATCTACATATTTTGTCAACCTACAACAATGCATTTACTAAAAGTTTTTAATTGAATCCCATAACATAATTTAAGCACATGCAAGATAATACAGATCGATGGTCGCGTTCCCAATCAGTGCAGTGCTGCACCCTTCACTCGCCCCTGTAGGCCCTGCACCCTTGGACACAGGGGGCAGCTCATGGGGTACGGCACTAATGCAGGATACCTACACACTTATCATTTAAGCTTATATTTATCTTTAGTGTTTTTTTAGGGGACCGGTGATGTCATTATGTAGGTAGTCCGCTAGGGTCCGCTAGGTGGCGCTGCACCTCAGTGAACGCAAATTAAGTGTCCTATTATTAAATAATTTAAAAAAATACAAACAGTGTATAATAAGTGGCTAAAAGTTGTTGAATTTGTTAAACATTAACTAATAACTACGTGACAGTGTTTTAGTAAATATCGTAAATAAACTGTGAAGATTTTTTGACTTTAAAACTTTCAAAGTTCAACTGACAAGGTAAAGGCAAAATTCGCAAACATTTACTTACTTATTTGACGACAATAATACAAAGACAATATAGTTAACCTGAACATTAATTAGAAAAACCCAGATGTGTTAAACTAAGTGATAGTAACATAAAGTAACTCAGTGATTCAAAAGTAAAAAAACGACCGGCAAATTGCAAATTGTAAAAAAAAAAATCTACTGACCGTCTATTTGTGTTCTATGCAAATTATTAATTGCATAATAGACTCGACTAATTTCAACAACTTTACTAATGAACCAGTGGCTGATTGCTTAAACATACTGTCTTACTCCACGGCCAGTACTGCGGAGGCTGGTTCAAACCCCAGTGACTACATTCACTTTTTGTGATTTTTATTATTTTTGTTGCATTGCTATTATTATTTTGACATTTTACAATGGATTTCGAAAGCAACAATGTCACTCACCGTAAACCGTGTAGATCAAGCTCTTTAACCGACTTAACTATTATGACAAATGAGAAGGCTATATTTGACTGTACTATGATGAGTATACCTGATAGCTTTCATGATAACAGCGCTGCTTTAAGTGATTTATCGGAACAAAATAAAATTCTTACAATGCAATTATTGAGTGCACATCAAGAGATAGATAATTTAAATACCGAAAACTTTAGACTAAAGACAGATTTACAAGAAATGATCAAAAAGGTTAATATGTACAAAACTATATGCTCAACGCCTACAAAAAAAAAATATAGCACCATTACACAAATCAACCACTTCACATCACAAAACTAAAACATGTAGTGTAACATTGAACGATACATCAAATGAATCATTTCGTGATTGCTCTAATACTGTTACTGCAACGGTCAGTAAGGAAACGCAAACTTATGAAACCTGTAATCCACAGTTACATAATTTGAGCAAACGATCCTTCAATGACGACAAAAAAAATCGTGGAGTAGAAATTGCAAACAACAAGCAGTTACAGAAACCTAAACAGAAAAATAAAATGTGTGTTCTTAATAGTAAGAGAATTAGAGGATCCTTATTTGCACTGGAAGATGTGTTCTCGGAATGTTTTGATTATTGCCATTATTTAATACCAAACAGTACAACCGAAGAGTTAATGAGCAATCTTACACAAAAACTTAAGAGCTTTAATTTAAATGACTACTGTTTACTTTTTATTAGTGAACTTGACATAAAGGAAAATAATGACTATGGAAAAGTAATACGGAGTATACGAGAATCATTGCAAGTAGTTACGCACACTAACATAATTATATGTTCTCCTACATACATAGCAGGAGCACCTATGTATAACTTCAAGGTAGATATGTTTAATAATCTCCTGTATCAAAGCATACAAAAATATAAATACGCATACTTTTATGACAGCAACCATAACCTATCACATGAAATGTTGTCCTACACAACGGGCAAAATTAATAGCTACGGGATAAGATGCATATATAAATAAATTATGGATAACATACTGATCGACATTAACCTATTCGGTGGAATGAGTGCAGAATTATGTGGTAGTGGGGAGAGTTGCAATGCTACCGATTCTCATACAAACAAAGAACCGACTAACTTTTTTCGTCACTAATAATATCTTTATATTACACCAAAATATTGCTGGAATAATAAACAAATCGGATGCTTTGTCAATATGTCTTGAAGAACTAATTGATAGGAAGATACAAATAGATATATTATGTATTACGGAACACTTCATGGAGGCCGGTTATGAAAACTGTCTTGTTATGCCTAACTATTCTCTAGCTGCAATTTATAGTAGAAGCAAGAGCAAACGAGGAGGAGCCTGCATACTGGTGAAAAACGGTCTTCAGTGGAAGGAGTTACCGGAAATAAAAAAACTTACTGTTTCGGGTCAATGTGAATGCTGTGCTATAGAACTTATTGGTTATGAGTTTGTTATTGTTTGTGTATACAGGGTACCTAAAGTAGAAAACCTAAATATATTCTTTTCAAAGTTGGAAATTATGTTACAATTGTTAAATAAGAAACACTATAAAAATGTTGTAATAGCAGGAGATTTTAATATTGACGTTCTCAAACAAAACAATGTAACGGTAGATTTTGAGAGTATATTGCTAAGTTACAATATGAAATTGGCTATAAGAGAACCTACTAGAATAGTAAGCAAAACATGTATCGACAACTTTGCTCATAATTTTACAAAATCGTGTAAGACGGAAGTGTTGGAGTTTGCTTTGTCAGATCATACTGCACAGCTAATAAACATTCCTATTAAAGTACCTGTCATAAAATTATGGAAGAAACGTATTCGTGATTTCGCTAGTGAAAATGTCCTGAAATTCAAAGAGTGTATTGATGGTTTGTCTTTTTCTGATATGTATTGCGAGTGTGATGCAAATAAGGCATATAATTGCTTTGTAGATAGCTTTAAGTTATATTATGACCTCTGCTTTCCTTATAAAACTATTGTTATACGTGTTAATGGGAAACCAAAATGGATATCTCGTGGGTTAAAGAAATGTAGTGCAAAGAAAAAACATTTACTTTGGAAGTTTAGATTTAAACCTACCGTCAGCAATAAAACCATATACATGACTTACTCAAAATTGTTTAAAAAGATTATTAAATTAACACAACTTGCTCAAAATAATTATAAAATTAAAACCTCATTCAACAAACCCAAAACTATGTGGAACTTCATAAACAGGTCAAAGACTAATATTCCTCGCGACTCAATTAATAGAATTAAGGTAAATGACAATATTGTTACCGATCCTGGTGCAATAGCTAATGCTTTCAATAACTTTTTTATTGACAAAATAAAGCCCATATCAAACTGCGGCAAAAATGTGACATCAAAAATTGTAAGTACTAGTAATTCTATTTTTATACCCCCTAGCATACCAAATGACATTCAACAAATTATTAATGGACTAAAAAACACAAATAGTGTAGGAGTTGATGACATTTGTACTAAAATAATAAAATTAGTTAACATAAGTATTTCTGGACATTTGAGTCATATATTAAATTTGTGTATTTGCAATGGTATTTTTCCGCATAGATTGAAAACCACAATAATAAAACCTATATTTAAAAAAGCTGACAAAGAGTCAATGGAATTCTACAGACCCATTGCATTAGTTCCTATCATATCAAAAATCTTTGAAAAGTACATTCATAATAAAATTTATACATATTTAGAAAAAAATAATTTACTGTGTCAAGAACAGAAGGGATTTAGAAAAAGTAAAAGCATTAATTTGGCTATTTATGATTTCTATAAGACAATAATGGGTAACGTCGATAAGAGGACCCCAGTATGCGCTATTTACTGCGATATGACACAGGCATTCGATTATGTGGATCATCGCATACTTTTAAATAAATTACAAGCTTATGGAATCAGGGGAACAATTTTAAAATTGATTGAATCGTATATTTCTAATAGATCTCAATTGACCGCAATAAATAGAGTGAACTTAAGAACCAGGTTCGAGGTTGAATATAGGTCAGAACCGCGAGGTAGCAGCTATGGTGTTCCGCAGGGAAGTGTATTAGGCCCCCTTTTATTCATAATATATATTAACGATCTACCTAAATTTACACACCATCCAATGTCATTATTGCTGACGATAGTACAGTTTCCATCCAATGTAGAGCAAGTGAAATGTACCAAAATGACATAAATAAGTGTCTATCCGCAATAATCCACTGGTTGGACAATAACAATTTAAAAATCAATTTGGAAAAAACCCAAGTTATGCACTTCAGTCAAAGACCCCAATACCAAAACATAGTGTTAGTTACGATGGTCACCCCTTACAGGAAGCAGATTCAGCCAAATTTCTGGGCTTAATTATTGACAAAAAACTAAACTGGAAAAACCATGTAGCTGACCTCTCCAAAAAACTAAGTAGCACTGCTTACGCTCTCTACAAAATAGCCTCGATAGTTAATACTGACGCTGTGCTTACCGCCTATCATGGACTCGCAGCGTCTAGATTGCGATATGGAATAGTTTTTTGGGGAAACTCTACAGATAGTGATATTGCTTTTAGGGCACAAAAACGATGCGTACGAGCTATGTTTGGCCTTCAACCAACAGACAGCTGTAAGCCGTACTTTATCAGGCATGGCATCCTTACACTTCCGTCTCTATATACTTGAGGTAGCAATGTTTGTGTTTAGAAATCCTCACCTTTTCGAACGGCTGCGTGATATTGTGCCGCGAAATCGGCGGAACAATAATAAACTGTGTCTTCACACAGCAGTAACGAGTCTTATGGGAAAGAGTCTTTTATGTATGGCGCCAAAAATATACAATAAAATCCCAAACGACATAAAACATTTCAATATTAGTATATTCAAAAATAAATTAAAATCAATTTTATCCAAGAAATGTTATTATACTGTAAACGACTTCTTGAATGACGGTAATTTGTAGGACATTTATAAGTTTAACTTTTATTTATTTAAGCACTGACATTTTAATGTATTATACTATGACATTTTTATTTTATTTTTTTGTTATATTACCTTTATTGACCTAAGCTAACAATATTTCATACGCCTGTGAGGGCAGATTTTGGTGGTACTATCTTAATACTGTGATCATAATTATTTACCCAAAATGTAATGAATAAATGATTTTGATTTGATTTTGATTTGATTTGATTTGTAGTGCCTATGTATGTAGTGTGTACCATTTCGTGGTGATTTTGTTTTTGAAGTAGGTAGGTACCTTCTGGCAGATTAGTATTTTGAAATGGCTTGTGTTAACCGTGACACCGATTCGTAAAAATTTACGAATTGAACGATTAGTTAAATATTTTTGATACTTCCGTCAGTTCTACGATGATTCGATCTATTCTTTGATTGTAAAAATTATGCAAAGAATGTAGTTTAAAATTGAATTTTACATAGAAAATAAAAAAAAAATAAGTTTAAAATTGATCATGGATTTATTTGTACCAACGTGTTAAAGTTTTAAGCGAATTTGGTAATCCTGATTGTGTATGTAGGTACTCAATTATGATTATTAAATGAATGAAATTATGATAAGTATGGAAGTAAAATTTAGAAACACCATGAAAATATTTAGTTGGCAGTAGAATCAGCAATTATAATTAAACAGTGTAACTGTAGTGTAAGAGGTATTATCACAGGGATTGAAGAGTCAAACCATTTATCATAACCGCATCAGTCAGCGTCACATAAAGGCGACCCACGCGACTAAACTATGACCGTTACTGATCACAACCCGATTCAAACCGAGGGCTACACCTAGCCGGCTAAATCCAGGGGGACTGGAACAAAGGCAAGGTGCACACGCGGCGATCGGCCGCGTCAAATCTCCGACTATTGTGTCGCATCGAATGTCGCACGTCGCATTGTATCGTCGCCCTCGCTCGCGTCAACGACATTAAATATTATTATTATAAGATTTATCGCATGGAAAATTGCACTTATTGTTAGTTACGACTGTAATATTTCGTGTGATTATGAATTTTATTTTTATGTTAATTATGTATGTTCGTGTCGAGGTGGAGGGCTCGCTGCACTACTATTATCTAAACGTAACGGTCTTCTTTTTATGTAGATACTTTATTTTGTTTTTTATGTGCTGCAAAAATGTAGTGTGCACGGGGTGTATAGAAATAAAATTATACCTCATCAAATCTATGGCGTTATTTTTTTTTGGTATTTTTTGACACTATAATAAAGTACCTACAGCAGAAGGGTTGTATCTCAGCAATGTAAGTAGGTACCTTCTATATGTAAGTATCAACATGGCATGTTAGTAAGAAACATATTCAATTCAGTTCAGTTCAGTTTTAGTGTTCACATTCACTAATTAGAATGAGGCAGGAAAAGTTGAAATAATTAAATACTCTATTTCATTCTAGATTAAGAAGTAACAAACGTGATTGCTGATTAAGAGAAAAATCCGGATCGGTCAAGGTTTTTCTTAAATCACATGTTTTGTTATATTCTTAACCAAAAATAGGAGTGTGGTATTCGGTAGTATCGTTAAAATTGGTTTAAAGATTTCCTGCAGAGAAAGGTAAACAAGGAAGATCTGTTAATGCTCGGTATAAAAATATATTCCTTAAACAATTTTAAATAACGTCAGTAATCAAATTACCAATATTCAAATCCATCCATCAGAGAAAACAAGCGTTTTTTAATCGGCCGCGATTCGCAGTGGCTTAGCTCCCTCCGTGACGTCACCGCATTAGTCGCACGCTGACAATGGCGGGTGACGGGAATTCGCACGCACGAGCAGCTCGCTACAGTGTGGACCCTGCTTTACGATCGATTGGATCCACTATAGAATCGAAAAGACATAAGTGAGTTTAAATATGAGCATTTAATTTCCCATAAAACCGTTTAATTTTGACTAGAAGATAAAAATCAAAGTCAAAATCATTTATTTCTATTAGACAAAAAGCACGTCCGATCGTCAAAAAAAAATTTAAAGTGAAGGTATTTGCTTATTCCAAGGTATAGAGTCCTATGGAGAAGGACGAGCAAGAAACTCCATAGGTTAATCTTTTTCAATCAGGTTCACAATACAATTCTCATATAGTCATATAGTTATTG